CTCGGCGCCGCTCCAGCCGCCGCCACCCGCTCAGCCCCGGCCGCGCCGCGCGCCGCCCCACGATTTAGTTCCTTTCTCCCCCGAGCGCCCCTCTGCACCCTGGCGACGCACATGGCCCCCGAGAAGAACACTTGTATTTGCAGCCTCTGCGGCTCTCCCGGCCGCAGCGCCCTTTGTTGAGAGGTAGATTTTGATGAAACGGGGACGGGCGCCTGAAATCGGGAGCTGCCTGGGTCAAGTGGCTTCCCTCCTCTCCCGAAGAAAGAGCTTTTGAGGGGTTTAAACGTCCAGGGAACGCCCCCATTTTATAGGGACGGGGTGTGCGGGGGGTAGCGATCCCGCCAAGGTATCTGTTGGACTGCTGAGAGCCCCAGCGAAAATGTTATTAACTTAAGTTGGAGGGACACTTGTGTGAAATTGGAGGGCTTGTAAGATGGCGGTTCCCAGTTGTTTGCAAGGTCTCCTGCATTTGTGTTTAAAATGGTAAAGTTTTCAATGTGATATTTATTGTGAGTCTTGGGTAAATACTCTAAACATTACTTGGGACGTGTTCACGGGGAAGTGGGCATTTCAAGTTTGGAGCTTTTCTTGGAGTGAGGATGGTGACTGGACGTTAGTGTTGCTGGAGGTTTCCTTTCTCTTTACTTCTTTTTCCTCTTTCTCTTTTCTCCTCTCTCGGAGACTACAACTTTTCTCTCAACCTCGACTGTAGGATGCACTTAGAATCATGACTTAGGTCCACTCTGTTTTATAGATTTTACTAAATGTCAGCTTAGGTCATGTGGTAAAAGGATGCTTTGGAAAAGGAGCACTATAAAGTTGATTGCATTTGTTTACGCAATCATTTGGGCTTGACAGCGATATAGCATGATCTTTTTCCCAGAGATTTACAGTTCATAATTGGAAGTAAACAAGTAGAGAGACTTTGATCATTCCCAATTGCAATAAAAGGATTTAGTGGGCTTAGTGGTCACGGTTCAATATTTGAAAGAGAAGCATATATTAACCCTTTCCCTTAAAGTAGGCAAAATTCTGGGCACATAGATCCAAATGCAAGTGTAGGTTGGTGGCATGCAGAATATTATGAGTAGTTCAACCTACATTTTATAGGAAACTTAACCTCCAAGTTCTGGGAAAACATTGTAAGTTATGCTAAAGACTTGATACTTAAGGATGCAAATTGTTGACAGTATATACCAAGTTATGAGACTGTCTGTTAACCTTTGAGTTTTAAATAGACTGATCATATATCTCTCAGGTTGATTTTTATTAACAAAATTATAATTTTTTTATACTTGAGTTCATTCCCATACATCTGCCCCAAAGTGCAGTCAGAGGTGTTTGAACTAACCTATCTGTGCAAATTATATGCCTAATAACAGTATCTTTAAAGCCATATAAAAATCACTGTGTATGCATGTGTGTATATATAAACACACATACATATATAAGCTTTTGTGAGAAAATCAAGCATTTAATTGTATTTCGTAAATCCATTAATACTCTTTCACTAAGTTCTTGGATGTGTGCTAAGTGCCCAAATAGGCAAACTTTTCTCCAGGAGTCAGGTTAACCCCAACTTTACCCATACTTGTATTGGGCTGTAAGCCCCAACTGGGGTTATGGAGTTCATTTGCATTTCTTAGATTGCAGTAGTCAAGCTGATTGTTAACATAAGAACTTGCTTCTGCGTTCCTTCATTTTGACATTACTGGTGTTAGGCCTCCACCTAGAAACTGACAGCCCCGGTATGTTATAATGGCAAGTTTAAGTGTTGAGTATTTTTACCATTGTGTGTTTGGCGCTTTTTTGCTTCCGTGACTGGCAATTTCTGTGTTGGAACCTAGAAGGTTTTCATTTCTAAGGTGCAAGAAATGAAACCTTGTCAAATGTTTTGGAAGTCTTCATTAGATGGCCAGTACTTTCAAGTGAGATGAAAAGATAAAGAACTAATTTTTATATAAGTAACAATAATATTTATTAGCATGTTAAATGTTAATAGGATTGTGGCCAAATTCTTCTGAACTGAGGTTGAGGAGTCGTGTGAATTAAGACTTAAGATGAATTTGAAAGGGTTTTGGTCAAGTGCATGTGACTTCAATGTTCAAAGCCAAGCAGCAGATAACCCTCCATTGAGGTTTTATTGTTCTCTGTGTTAATATTTGTGTTTGTGTGGTGTTGCTTTTCAATGAGGTAGAGGAGAAATAAAGGCAGCTATTTTTATTCGAGCCCTTTCATGAACTTCATGATTAGTGGCATTAGTGTAATATGCTATGCTTTCACAGGCAAACAGAAGTATCACCTTGCTAACTATATAAGAAAAATCCTGTGGTTTCACAAGGAGAGTTTTCTTAAAGCACCAAGAAGGCTTGTCTTCAATCACCAAGTATGATTGGATTTAAATATTGCTACTCTTTAGGGACACTGTTCCACCTACAACTCCTCTGCGACCCCACTTAGATTGATGTTAACATGTTGACAGTATTCTTCTAATGAAATAATCCAAAGAAAACTGAGGAGTCACATGTAAAGTTTTCTGACTGATGTCACTGGTTGCCACTGTGGTCACTTTTGCAAGAGAGAATTTTTTTTTTCAACCATTTTTGAGTACTCAACTCATTTAATTTTCGTCATTGAGGTATGTTGATTGGTATTTCCCTCCTCTGTATTAAAATTCCCAAAGAATTAAAACCACAGATGCATCTTACTGCAAATTTCACAAGTTCCTAGATTTCCATTCAAAGTACAAGCTTAGAGAATGTACTTCAGTTAGGTCTAGAAGCTCAGTCTTATTTCAGGATCTTGAATGAATGAAATGGGGATGGGGGCAGGGTAAGAAATGTATTTTTCAAGAGTACCACACGAAGTAATTGACTTACCTGATTGTCGGCTGGTGTATTTTTGCTAATAGGTCCCCACCGTGACTTTTCTATGTGATATGTGTTGGGAATATCATTTCATTGTGTGGGGGTTTGTATGGAAGTTAAGCTGAGAAAATGACATTTGTTTTTCTCTCCTATCGTTGCTCTGGGTTGACAAGGTGTTGATTTAGCGTTGGGAATGGGCTGGTCACATGGTTCTTCACATATTGTCACTATCACACCGATTAAAGTAGGTTTTCTTGCCTCCAGCATACTTTGTTCAAATAAAACACAGGGCTCTGCCCCTTCCTCCTCCTCCCGTAAAACAGATTTCAGTTTTCAGCCTTTCCAATACTTTGTATCGCTCATCTAATCTACAGCAGAACTTCATATTAGAGAAGGAAGCTTTAAAGAGGTTCGGTTCAATAAACATCTCTGCAATTTGAGCCCTTACGGTTTCGGGCTAAGTGCACAGTTGGCAATTCTTAAAAGATCTCTTCGTGAAATTTTTGACCTAGCGATTGCTAACAGGACAGACCGAAAGAGTCAAGATCTGAAAAAAGCCCTTCGCACCAAATCGACGTGGAAAGAGGCCCCCAAGAGTGTCCGAAACGGCCGGGAGTGCGGTTTGCATTTTTCTTTAGCAGTCGCCCCCAGGCTCCGGGGTCCCTACGCTGCCTGCCGGGTCGCCACCACCCGGGATCCTTGTCCCCAGCCCAGCAGGCTCTCGGGGCCGCCCCACCCCCGCACTGGCGGCGCTAGCACCCCACCCCGCCCCCGCGCCGGCCCCGCCCCCGTGCC